CGACGACGACGACAACGACGACGACGGTGACGACGACGACGACGACGACGACGACGACGACGACGACGAAGCCGACAACGACGGTGACGACGACGACGACGACGACGACGACGACGACGACGACGAAAGGCCGCCTCTCTCCGCGCCGGGGACGCCGGCGCAGACGCTGGCGGCGACGGCGGGGCCGAGGCCGCTGTGAGGGCCGCGGCCTCGGCGTCGCCGGCGCTCGCGGTGGCCACCTGCGGCCAGCGGCGCGGGCAGGGCCGACGACGCCGACGCCGACGGTGACGCCGACGACGACGACGAGGTCGACGACGCCAACGACGACGACGAAGCCGACAACGACGAGGCCAGCGACGACGCCGACAACGCCAATCGGGAACTGGCTGCCCTGCGTCCCAGCGACCCCGTCGACCCGGACCCGAAGAATGGGGAAGGAGGACTGCACCATCGCCCACACCATGGTACAGCACGCCCGGGCGCTTCACGGCAACGTGGAGAAGGCCTGGCGACAATAGACAGATGGGAGGAGCAACGCCGACGGAGCCCCGACGGACCCCATGACATCCCCCGGGATCCACGTGCTCGGACGGAGGGTGACTGCGAGGGCTTCCTAAGCGGCATCTACGGCCCAAAATTCCCAGACGACGGAATTCCCCAGGACGGCGCGCCGCCCTGGTGCACCTCTTCTCGCCTACCTCGTCAGACAGAAGGGGCGCACTCCCAATCGGAAGGACCACCTGGCCGAACAATGGCTCTCCTGCCTGCAGAACACGACCACCCCCCGCTGTATACGAGCCTAGGCAAGGACCCAGACAGGCACAGGCAGCAGCACCTCGCCTCACACGGGGCACAGAGCCTGTCGGCCCCCGAGCTGGTCCACTGCACGCCTGGGGCCGACCCGAGCGCCACCGCGAAGGCAAGCCACAACAAGAGAAGGGCACCTGGCCCTCGAGCCGAGCTCCCGAACCCGGCCCATTGAGCAGGGACCGACCGTCCCAGCATTCCTGTAGTCCTACCACGAAGTGCTCCTAGAACCCAAAGAAGTCCTAAGAACAAAAACAATGTTCTCAGAACATGAACCCGATGATATACAACAAGACAGTCCCGGCCAGAAATGTTCTAAGAACTTTTCGTGGGGACCACAAAAAAGTTCTTAGAACATTGCTTGGTGGGGCTATAGGCGAGCCAGGACGCTTCGCCACTGCTTGACGAAGGCAAGCCATAACAAGAGAAGGGCACCTGGCCCTCGGGCCGAGCTCCCGAACCCGGCCCAGGCCCCGCGCGCCACCGCAGGGCACCGGCCACCGCGGCCACGGCCCCGCCCCAGGCAGAGGCCCCCCCAGGGGCACCCTCGCCCTCGGAGGCGGGCAGCAGGCAGTGCAGCGGAGGGCGCACCCGCTGCGCGGCGGGAGGCGCAGCCCGCCTCCTCCTCCTCCT